CACCTTATAATATTATGCCATTTTACACCTTATAATGTTATATATATGTATATATATAACATATTGCCCTTTTACACCTTATAATATAATGCAGTGTCCCTTCATGTGATGCACAAAAATCATCTTTCTTGGATGTTCCAGAAGAATAGTTCAGGATCTTGCTTTGAGTTTAGCTTTTCACGTGGGGCCCATTGATTGTACCAGCACACAAATGTGGAAGATAGAGTGGAACTTAGGCCTTATTTATATAACACATGGAAGAATATTTAACAACGTGTGTTACTTGAGCTCTTTGTATCACTTCTAATTAAATAAACTTTACTGTGATGAATACTGTTCAGTTAAAAATCAACATCATAAAAAGTTATAATAATATGATTTTTCTCAGATATCGTAATTACCCTGTGGAATCTTCCCACATCTCTTGGCTACTTATTACACTGCCTAATATAGGGAGTGTGTGCTAACCTCTGAATTTCTCAGTATGTTTAATCCCCTTTAATTTGTAATGTAAATTACTTTCCCATTTGTTCCATTTTCTCTTCAATGGACACATATTCTGAAGCATCACTCCTTGCTTCATCCATTAACTTCCCAAGCTCTGCCCACTCCTTGCCTTCGTTAACGCTTATTAAGGACATAATGTCTTCTTTCTAGTCCATCCAACTGCCATTTCCTCCCAGAGTTCTCTGCGCAACTCCCCCCCCCCCCCCCACCGCAATTGCACTAAGTAATCTCACCCTCCTTTAGCAGAAATCATAGCGGAGTGTTTATAATTGCCTAGCTTATATTCATTATGTTGACTTGGGGGGTTGGTCTTATTTTCCCAACTAGACTTAAAGCTCCTTGAAAGTAGATGATGTCAGTTGCACGTCAGCGTTTTTCAGGGACACTGACATTGTATCTTATACATAGTAGAAGCTCAAAAAATACTGTTTTATGAATGGGCAAGTGATTTATCACCTTAGACAACTGAAAGTCTCCTCTTCTGCCCCCAGGTTGTTGAAATGCTTATTCAAATCAACAGATCACCATTGACATGTTTTTCTGTGTGTAAGGGAATCAATGCAGTGAGCTGTCAGAGACACAGGGAAGTTTCATGAGGGCTGGGCAGAAATTGACAATCCAGAAAAAGTCAAGGGCATGGCTGAGGGTGGGGCACTTTGGGATGGAGGAATGGCAGGAGTAGATGTTAAGAAAAAGGGGTGTGACTGTGTTGGCCAGTTTAACTTGAGCAGAATTCTTATAGAGGAGAATTAGAAAATAAAATCAAAAAATGGTTTAGAATGTGTTTCTGAAAGGTTTTGAATCCAGACTAAGAAATTTGAATTTTATTTTCTTGTGTTTATGAGACCCATTCAATAATAATATTTTTTGTTTCAGTTAGAATTTTCTACAGAAGTTTCTGGTTATAATATGCTTTCTATTTTATAAATAGTTTAAGGAATTTGGTGTGCATTTTATTAGCAATTACTTGAAAGAAATGCACTGTGATTTATATGATTTTGTGACGCTAAAGATGTAAAAAATGTAGTTTTTCTAAAAGCTTCTTTGCATCTTCGGCCACATTGGTCATAATATATGGTAGTAGCGTAAATAAAAACAAACACATTATAATATTTTTCTCCTAACTTTGTACTTGCTTCTGAGTGCATGTATTTTATAGAGTGAAATGTAGCTTAAAAATGGTATGACCTGTTCTTAACTGGGAAATTGTTCATAGTTTCGTTTGCTGTGAAATTCGTTCTAGCGATGGGAATACTGGAATACCAGAATTTTGGAATTTCTTTGGGTCCTGCGTAAATGTTACTACATTGAATTGAGAGTCCCACTGGTTAGCTGGGGGGCTGGTGCCATGGTCAGGGGGAGTCCAGGCCACTGTCTCTGCTCTAGATGGTGGTGTGGCATCCCATGCCTTTTTGTAGACCTTACACAGTGTTCCAGGGATCGGCTAGCTGAGGAGTAGCTTGTGATAAATTACAAGCTTTTACCAAAATAAAGATCACTTCTTCCCTTGCTGAGTATCCACTATCCCATTCTCGAATTGTCTTTGCCAAGCGAGTAATGTTTATAGGTGTGCTGCTTGGACTCCGCCCAAGTGAGAGAATATATCTGGAGACTTCTTCCGAGTATACTGTGAGCTAGGGTTTGTTTTTTCCTAAATATTACTTTGCCATTTCCTTAAACACAACTGTTGATAGCTGATGTTAAAAGGGATTAAATGTTTGTCGCTTAGTCAAATCAAAAGATACATTTAATGCTCCACTAGGTACAAGTCATTCGACTGTGACATTCCTCTGTCATTTTTTACTCTCCAGAAGGGAGAATTTTCGTCAGCATTATTTTATGGTTTCCCTTCTTACGCAGACCTATTCTTCTGATTTTTCGTTGTTTGGGTGCTGAAATCAGGTCCTTACGAAAAGGAAGAGATAAAAAATTTCTGTGCCCACATGGCTAAGAACGGTCTTGAATTACAGCGGGGGCGGGGTTGGGGGGGCGACAGGACGGGGGACTAGACGACGAGGTATTGACCCCCGATGTCATGTGTTTGTTCTCTGTGCATGGCAGTTGGCGTTCTTCTTGCACCGCCTATTGATCCTTCCCATTCAGGTGCCTTATTTTCTCAGATTGCACAGTACATTATAGTGAGCAGGCTTCTTGTTTTGTAATTCATTGTCTCCACAATCTGCTGCACATGTTGGTGGTTTTGCTCATTGAGTAGATTACCCCAGATTAGCACATCTGGTATCCCTTTACCGTTGGCTTATAGTTTCTATGAACTGTGAAATCAGGCTATTCTTAGGGCAGTTTCAAAGGATTGACAGGCTTTTACTGCCTTGTCCGGTCCCAGGAAGAGAAAAGAATCTGATGGGATGCTTCTCCATGCAGTGAGCTCAGGATGGTTACTGTGTAGAACTCAGCCACTTGCTATGTTGAGTAGACAGTGTTACCTTTTCTTCTAGTTTCTGCTTTTAGACTTCAAGTCTGGGTGACTGGGACTCCCTTAACACCAAAGGCTGCAGTTACCTTTGACTAAGTGGCC